TTAATATGAGTTAAAACGTCATTGTTCTTCAAAACGCGTTCGATTTTTAGTTCGTAAACTCTATACAAGTCACAATCCTTTACGGATTTTTACGAAACTTGCTGAAATTGTTTATTATCACCCAAGGATGAACCCTATTGAAAATCAGAAGAATCGAAAAATATTTCGTATGAGTTATTGCCCTTGTTCTTGAAAATGCGTTCAATTTTTAGCTCGTAAACACTATAGAAGGCACAACTCTTGACGGATTTTGACAAAACTTGGCATGAGTGTTTGTTATCAACCAAGGATAAACCATATTGAAAATCAGAAAATCGAAAAATATTTAGAGTTTTCACGAGCTAAAAATTAAACAAGTTTTCAAGAACAGGGGCAATAACTCATACGAAATATTATTCAGTATCGCTTTAAAGAGTTAAAAAGAAGTGTATGACTGAAGGTTGAATAATTCATATTGGTGATTGTTACTGTACTGATAAAATCAAAGCTGCCAGTGGGCGTATATATATTGTCTTATGTGTACTGCAGATGGTGGTCGATTGCATATTGACTTTAACTACAGTGCAACTAACTAACTGGTTCGACGGTTCTCTCAATATGTAGTCAACTATACTTGAGTGGGGTGGGGGTGTAGTCCCAATGTATAGGTTTATTCCACAGTAGGCTTCATGGGGATCTTGGTCGATATAAGTAAATGATCGGTTAATTTTCGAGTGCTTAAAATCTCGAACAGGTGATATGGACAAGTAATGGATTTTATTCATAAATCTGTCATTAAAACATAGTGGGTTTCTAGTCTCTGACTACACAGTATCCTGAATTGAAATTTGGCAATCATATGAATTGAAATATCAATTACAAAATACTACTGAAAGTCTTGGATTGCTTTTGGGTTGATAAAACTGGAAAATTTGTAAACATGATTTCACATAGTTGAATTTTCAGTCCGAAAAGTAGGTCATTTTCACGTGGATTTTCTTGGAGGGAATCACTGAATCTTATAATTCGAAGGACCCTAAGACATTCGAAGACAAATGGCATAAAGTTGAAAATTTTATTTTGAATATTTATCAAGTTAGAGAAAAAATTCAATTCAAAGCTCAATGTAGTCGAAAAGGGCCAAAGATTTGATGTGAAAAAGACATTTCGGATTAATAATTCCACCTGTAAATTTCAACACATTTAGTTTCTGTTGTTAATATTTCACTTCAAATAAACAATAAACATGATTGTTAAAACTCGAGAAAAGAGATGAGATGAGATATAAACACAAACTTACTTTCAACGTCAATAAGCTGGTATTACAGGATCCGTTAAAAATTTGTAATTATCATGTTAACCCGGTATACAATAAATAATGAACAAATAAAGATACAATTCTATAAGAAAGTCTCTAAGTATCTTAGGAGGACAATATTAGGTCAGTACAAAATCGAGCACAGAGTAAAACAATTTCGACATTTTGTCAGATCGATAACAAATCACGATCTCACTATAAAAACATGCACGTGCTTTAAAGGCCGATAGTCGCGAAATTTCGATAAGATAAAATTTTTAAAAATATGTTCTAGTTCTCCAAAACCACAAATTAAAACAAAAGCCCATTGAAAAATATCAGCTAAATTCTTCTATTCAATTCCAAGGACTAAAGATATTTGAGACTTGATGATGATTTTCATCGATAGGATATTGACCTAAAACATTGTAAAACCAACATAACATCACGACAGCACTTGTTTTCGCGAATTTGAAAATTGAAATTGGAAATTTTGTGACCTGAATGTAGTATTTTTTTTTTCGCCCACATTATAATGTCCGTCCGTCGACAATTGGCTTGTGAACGAAATAGAGACTACAGCGGACGTGTCGTATCTTGCCGGGCAACAACTTGTTTTTATTTTTTTTTCAAACCCACTTGTGAGTGGAAATTTTCTTCTTTTCTGTTTCTAAAATACGAAACATTTTCGCTCAATATTGTAAAAATCGTTCTGATTTTGACATTTTATCAGCCTTCAGTACAACTCAGGTCAGTCCAGTTACAGGCAAAAATAATAAACAGTTAATTCGCGAGGTAGTCCTAGATCTGTATCAATAAAGGTTTGATTAAAGATAAATAGGGCCCAATTAAATTTCCATTTTTTTTAATATTGTAAAATTACAGTAAACTATCATGACTATTCATATAGAACGGATCAGAATTATTATGGCAAGAGTTATCGTTGCTTAACTCGATTGCCTGTCATTGAAACACGTTTTCATTAGCTCACGTCACCAGTATGTCTCTTATTAAATATTGTTTAAAAGGACTGAAAAGCCATTTTGTCACCATTGATACTTAAATCTCAGAGCGGGTTTTTTTTTTGCTAAGCCGCTCAGTAGTAATTTAACCGTCGATATTTAAGCTTTCAAATCTATGTGTCCAGAATTATCCGTGTTTGAACGTTAAAAAAACGAGTCGTCATAGATAGATCAAACATCTATAGAAATGGCAAAAGAAATTCCAAGTTTGAGATATTTTCAAAGGAATTATGCGATTTTCGTACATTTTTAGGACTCCTGAAGACTATTAACATAATATATTCAAGACTCATTCAAAACATTTATTTATTGTTTCGTTTCGTTTTATCATACCATCTTGGTTTGAAGAAGAAAAACGTTTATATTTTGGTTTGGGGAAAAAATTTGGGACTAAAAGTGCTGTAACCGACAGGAACTTGAAATTCTTGGCTGTCTGTCAAAGTGTTGGCCTTCACCCCAACCAGACGCTATAGGCAGACTGCCCACCCCCACCCTTGAAGTAAAATGGCCACAACTCGGCCACTTTTGACCCTAGACGTATAATTTTTGTTTGTGATGAATTTCGAAATCGTTCATATTCATCGAATAAATATTTTAGTAACATCACATCGTTCTTCATCGCATCCCAAACAATGTAGTCTTTAGTCAAAACGCAAAGATGTGTCAACATTTCTTCAACGTTTTCTTACCTATTCGTGCGAAGATATTTTTTTCAAAATTTGTCATATTTCATCAATTGTAATGGCGACAAAGTTCGCCATGTTCTGGTGGGGTTTCCAAATCTTGCCCGTCGTTATTTGGAGTCAAGAACCCTGATTGTTGTAACTTCCTCATTAAGTAAGTCTGTCCCCTATTTGTAGCCCATGTTCCAGAAGGTTGCCACTTTAAGCTTACATTAAGTGGAAATTAATCTTTCGCACTAGCTTACCTAACGTACCATCAGCTAAAAGTATTTGTTTGATCACATCTCAATAGTTAGTTATTGACTGTAAAAAGTATCAGTAGAAGAGCCACAAAACAGATGCTTTAGCGGTACATCCAAACTGCATACATGTTGCAAAAGAAAATGTCACAAGCAACTTTTACACTCATAAATTTATTAGATAACAATTAGCATATCATAATATCATAAAAACCTAAAATATAACAACTATTTTATTATATAGCACTTATTGATATGTGGCAGCTTGATTGATTGATGTACATATACTCTTTACTAAGTGATATCAGAATGGAATAAAACATTAAAGGAATTGTAAAGTGGTTTTCTAATTTAGTTTATATGTATTGGGGACACTGAGAGCATCATTTCCAATTTTCAATCAAACGACTGCGGTTCTTGCAAATCCACTAATGGTGCAAATTGATGCTATCAGTGTTTCCGATACACATACAAATTTTAGAAAACCTCTTTACGATCCCTTTAATAGCATTAGCACAAGTTTTGGTCTTTTGTGTCATTATTAGCTTATACACAAAACGCCACAATACTGCTTGTGATTGGTTCTATAAAACCACACATATTCAAATATATACAGTACAAAGTTACATGTATATAACATCCGAGACACTGATAGCATCAATCCTTGCTCTCAGATTTTGACAGTCACATGATCGACCTGAACCCCCTTCTAGAAATCAAAGAGATTTCTTGATGTCACTGATATTAATGCATTCTTTCAAGAAATACACTTGTTTTGGGGTTTTCATAAAATAAGATGATTTTGAGTTAATTTTGATCAAAATGCCATAAGTAATTAGTGTTATTTTGGTCATGTCCAATTTACAAAGAAAGAAATATTCATTTTTTGTCATGATTTTGAAAGAAAAGCTATACATAATTTGTATAATTCCCTATATATATATATTAGAGCAGTGTAATGTACATGTCTACAGATATATTAGGAAGACTAGAATAAAACTATGAGAATAGTGTAAATGGGACTTGAATTTTCTGATGATTATTAATTTGAATTTTCTGATGATTTTAAATTTGAATTTTCCGCTCAATATTAATTGGAAATTTCTGATGATTTTAAATTTGAATTTTCTGCTCATTATTAATTTGAATTTTCTGTTCATTATTAATTCGAATTTTCTGTTGATTATTAATTTGAATTTTAATTTTCTGCTGAATATTAATTTGAATTTTCTGTTCATTATTAATTTGAATTTTCTACTGATTATTAATTTGAATTTTCTCGATGATTATTAATTTGAATTTTCTGATAATCATTAATTTGAATTCTCACTAAAAGTTAATTTAGATTTGTTGCCATTAAGATTAAGGACTTCCATGGTTGATATATGTTACTTAATGGGATAAAGTGGTTCTATAATTGTGTATGTATATCAGGACACTGTAAGCATCAATTTGCATCATTCCAATTTTCAGTCAGACGTCTGTGGTTCCTGCAATTCAACTAAAACTAAATGTTAGATGACATCACTAAATGCAAAATATGCTTTATCACAATCACAAGGCCCTTTGCGATTAGTGATGTCATCAAACATTTGGTTTTAGTGAAATTGCAGGAACCATGCTATCCTTGATACACATAAACTTTTAAGAAAACCCCTTTAAAATCCCTTTAAGATTCAAGAATTTGCTCTCAAATAATGGATTTTTACAAAAATAATAATCTGAATAATAATTCTGCAACCAAACACACATTAATAATGAAGAGTCAAAAAAGAGAAATTTATTTTGATCCTTTCTGTTTTTGTGGATGAGATTCATCAATCAATACATCAAGATATTTCTGTTGAGATGCAAAAAATTCTTTAGAAAAATCGCAAGTTAAGTTGACACACATGGGACATCTCAATAGTAACTGCGGGTTACAAACTTTAGGTGAATTCAGATGAGTCTTGACAATATCTGCTAATGCCTGAAAAAAAAAGCAAATATTTAATAAACTTGAAACCATTATAGAGAAAATCTCAAACTGGTTGGATGTCGATATGTATAGGATAATGACTAAGTGCAAGCTTTTACACATTTAGAAAGCCTGAATAAAAGAAAGGCTGACAGTAGAAAAATTTATCCTGCCTATCTCTTTCGATGGCCTTCTAAACTCGGTTAAAACTCGTCCTTGGTCATAATCCTATCCTTAAAAACCAAGTGGTTTCTAACATATCAATAGTAAAACCTATCCAACAAATGTATATCTTGTACCTTAGAATAAAAACCTGGGTAAGACTAGTACCTCGGAATAAAGAATGTGGTTAAGACTTATACAGAATAAAGAACCTGGGTAAGACTTATACCTCAGAATAAAGAACCTGGGTAAGACTGATACAAAATAAAGAACCTGGGTAAGACTGATACAGAATAAAGAACCTGGGTAAGACTTATACAGAATAAAGAACCTAGGTAAGACTTATACCTCAGAATAAAGAACCTGGGTAAGACTGATACAGAATAAAGAACCTGGGTAAGACTGATACCGAATAAAGAACCTGGGTAAGACTTATACCTCAGAATAAAGAACCTCGGTAAGACTGATACAGAATAAAGAACCTCGGTAAGAATTATACCTCAGAATAAAGAACCTGGGTAAGAATTATACAGAATAAAGAACCTGGGTAAGACTTATACAGAATAAAGAACCTAGGTAAGTCTTATACCACAGAATAAAAACCTGGGTAAGACTTATACAGAATAAAGAACCTGGGTAAGACTTATACAGAATAAAGAACCTGGGTAAGACTTATACAGAATAAAGAACCTGGGTAAGACTTATACCACAGAATAAAGAACCTTGGTAAGACTTATACCACAGAATAAAAAACCTGGTTAAGACTTATACCACAGAATAAAAATCATGGGTAAGACTTATACAGAATGAAAAACCTGGGTAAGACTTATACCACAGAATAAAAAACATGGGTAAGACTGCATGAAGCTATTTCTTTCACTAACCATTACATCAAAGTTTTTCATTGTAAGAAAATCATTTTCAAAATCTAACCTCAATAAATACTGGATGATTATTTAATGACTCAGCTCTTCTTATATTCTTCACACCAACCTTAAAGTAACAATACTATAATCAGAATCATTTGAATATAAACAACTGAAAACACAATCACTTTATTTGTTTATGGCAGACTAGAACTACATCCATTGCAACAAGATGACGTAATTTCGATTCATCTTAGAGGAAAATTTTTTTTTTTCAATTATACTTTAATATTTTTTTTCAGAAATTCATGCAATGTACTATAGAGGGATTAAACTGTTTACTGAACCAGAAATGACTCAACAGTGATCTGTGAACACTTTTACTGAACAGGTTAGCTAAAAGATTCCTTTGTTATATTATTCTCTTGATAACGCTGCCTGTATGAGCATGTGAAACGTTGAGTTAATAAATGTCAGAAAAAGTATATCCATATATCTTGTGCTTCTTTACCTATGCCTATTTCTATATGTCTTATAAAAAGTATATAAACAGTAAAATATTCCAGTTTCTGAGACTAAAATACGATTGGTCAAACGGATTTGAACCTATACCTTTAAATCAGTAAAAGCCTACCTCGCTACCCAAATGCTGTGAATACTCTAAATCTAATTCATACAATGTTTCTATATGGTCACTGGTAAAAGCTATTGGTACTAGTAATATATTCTTCTTGTCTCTATTGACCAGTCCTTTAATAGCTTCATCTGTTTGTGGACTGAGCCATGGTAAAGGACCAACCTAAAAATAGACATAGAAATTCAGTAAAATAAAATAAAGTAAAATGTCAATATTTAGACAGATGTTCAAAAATTTCAGGTGATGGATAATAATAAGAACACTTGAAAATGAGAAATTATTTTAATTATGCATTCATTCCAAGATTAAAGAAAATTTGTACATAATTAAAGGAGCTAATGAAGTTTCATGAGCCTGCCATGGATGAAATGCTAACCTTTGATTGCCAAACTAATCTATAAGGATGGGAATGACCCAACTCTTCCATAACTCTCTGTACTGTAGCACCAACTTCTGCTGGGTAAGGATCTCCTCTGTTTACAACCTAAATAATGAAATGAATTATGTTTTATGTCCTTCACCTAATTGGGCTAATAATGCCATGCTGTGTGTAATGAGGGAAATTGTGCCAGGACAGTAACGTTAGTATTAGGGTTCTTTAATAACGTGCACAGCATGTACTGTAGCAAACAGTGTCGCTGTTTATTGTCATATCAATAGTGGATTTGGTGCAGTTTAGTGGTACAAGGGTTTGGTCATCAACAACAGCCATTTCTTTTGCTTGGACGTAGCTATCAAAAGTTTGAAACTATTAATTGTTCAATGTCAATGAATAGAAATGAGCTTTGAAGTGTCCACAACTAGTGCATCTGTATAAAATAAAACCTTTATGTAAGAGGAAGGCAACATGATGGATATTAATCCTACCTTCATTGGTAAAGAATGGGCAGAAAATAATATTACTACATCATCTTGGTCTTCTATAGGAAACTTAGCTATCTCTTTTCTTATATTGTCTGCAAATGCCTACAAAAACAGAACAATTCAATCACTATCTGATACACTGCAGATATATTTTCATTTCTTGTTTTTTTCTGCATGTTCCTCACTCACCACACCCTTAAAATGACAAAATTGTTAAAATATTGTTTAGTTATAGGTGTTATAGAAACCGAAAGCCAATCAAAAACTGTTGAAAGTTTCCAGATCATTAATATCTAACAAATTATGGATATCCCAGAATTCCTCAGATATAGCAGGTTATCTTAGAGAACATAACATTTGATTTGATATCTTACAGACATCATGCAACAATATTATCACAGTCTGGGTGAAGTGTGGAACTTACATCAGAAACAACACAATGAAATATCTATAAATTACTGGTTTTAATGAGCTTTTTGGGAAGGCAACTTTCACCATTTTTTCAACCCATACATAGATTTTTTAAGCTTACTTCCTTGATGCTTTTATTTGAATTCACTGAAAAATGATGATGATACGTCTTTTTGTGCCAAGAACAGAAATATGTTTACCTGAGCTAATCCAGGATGTGTTGGCCATCTATCTATAACACTCCAGATAAGTTCACTAGGACTAATGCGTTGTTTATAATGTTTATATATAGCATTTAAACTGCTACCAGTAGTAGAACAGCTATATTGGGGGTACTGAGTAAATGCAACTGCTCTTTGTAAACCATCACTTCAAAAATAATAAGAAATTGATAGATTATGCAAATTGTCACATTCTAAGTTCTAACTTGTTATAAGTTTACACTAACTGCAGTTTTGGCCTCAACACTTGACTAACTTCATTGATCTAAGATCTAAAAACGAAAACTGGATGATTTGCTTACAACATCAATTAATTCACCTAGAATCATCACTGAGGTATTCATTTTGTGATTTAAATGCACAGCTGTAGGTTTATGCATACTATTTTTTCACCTTTATAAGTCAATGAGTCAAATTTGACATTTTCCCTCAGAATTTCTAGTTATTCCATAAACTTACACTTTTGACAAAAAGTCTTGTGGACATAAAAACATTCATCAAAATAAATCAATTGCATGTGGCAATACACCTAGTTGGATAAGAATGTAAAAACAATGTAAGCAAACACCTACCTTTCCATCTGTTCAATGGATTCTTCTGTTAAAGGATGGACATAACGAAAACCAATATAGAATTTATGAGGAGCTGTTGCTGGACTGATCTTATCGAGTATTTCTACCATTCCTTGACCCTGTAACTCGGTCCATTTCTTTATAGGTGACCCTCCTCCTATCTTCTGATACTGTGTTTGGATACTCGGTGTCCGTCTTTTTGCTATCATGGGTGCAAGTTTACTAAAGGAGAGAAAACTCAATGAGCTAAAGTCCTTGACAACTTTCTTGCAATGCTGGGTATTGCAAATCATGGCATAATACAATGTTATGTCAAATCATGTAAACTTAAAGGGGCATTCTGCCTTTTTTATAAAAAATGTTCATTATCAAAATAGTCGTAAATTATTCCTGAAAATATTACATGAGTATGCTTTTTATATCTATGTATCTATACTTGATCAAACCGAATTTGTTTTAAAAGGGTTAATAAAAAACGGACAGTACAAATTGTTAAGTTTTGGTTTTTGGCTTTATAATGGCTTGATATTATTAGTTGAAGCCTTCAGAATACATAGGAGACATATTTCTTTACAATTAGTCATTTATGTACCTAGTTTTCTAAAAGCTTCCAAAAAGCATGAAGTTTAAAAGTTTACATAAACTTTCAGATAGGTTAAGGGATATATTTCTCTAGATTTTTGTTTCCAAAAAACCTACGCTTATTACATGGCAACCGACTGCTAAAAGCACTCACTGGTCATTTAATCATGAAGAGAGATTTGTTACTAAAGATCGCCTCAAAATTTAAACTTGCTAAATAATAACAATTATTTCAAGCTTTTACTTTTTTTTGAGTTACCTACCTTTGTGCTGGTAATGGAATTAAGTCTTTGTCAGAAAATAAACGTAACAGAAAGTCATAGACATCTTCAGTGGTTTCTGGTCCTCCCATATTCAACATTAATATTCCAGTTTTAGGTTTTCTAGAGCAAGAACACAAAAATTTTAATTCAATCTTGACAATACTTGACATATTTGAAGGGACAGGTTCTCATTCCATTTGACCAATTATAGTACAGGTCTTGGTATCAGAACTGCGATTATTTTAGCTAAGCTAAAATTATCTGCCTTTGAAAGATAAATTGACAAGTCACCTTTATTTGAGACTCTGCCATGCATAGAAAAGACCTATTTAGAAATAGAAAGCTAAATTCCTAGTTTGAGTTCAGACAATTTAAGCTTAGCAATCACATCAAGCTTCTTGTGACTTCTTGTATAAAAAGCGAGTCACAATCTTTTCAATTCAAAAAATTTTCTCAGAAATTAGATAAGATGAAATTTAACCTTTTGCTGATATGTCTTTTCTGCACATCGTTACCGAGTACCCCATAACATCCTAGAACATTTTTGGTTTTCACAATGTTGAATCCTGAGCTTAAAAAGCCTGCAAAAAAAGAAAATGATAAAATAACAACAGTTTACAAAGCTTGAGCTGAAAAAATTAGCATTATCATTTTCACAAGAGGGTTGAGTGAGCATACAATACAGGTAATACATGCACCATATTCTTTTTTATCAGTTAACCCTTTTTCTATAACTCATAAAACAATGTCATGGAAACTTTAGTTGGGATCATATCCAAATGTTTCATTCAAACCTTCTTGTAGACAAGTCCGTTTCTTATTTCCATTCTGAAAATTCTGGAGATAGCTGAAATTCTGCTTTATTAGGACCTGATAAAAAGCCTGTGATTTTAGTGAAATGGCTATGTCTGGACTAAAGCAAAGGTTTGAAAACACTAGTCAGTATGTTATTTCAAGTTTTATACATGTTGACATTATTATATAAATCATCTGTCACAGCTCCATTTCAAACCTGTGGAATAGACCGAGAGGAACCTTAAACTAACAGTGTGAATATGTGGGACACCACTGAGCTGAGTTATGCAACTCTTACTGAGCTGGTAACAATGAATAAATTAACATGTGACATGTGTGCTACAATATACGGGCCACGGGGTTGTACTTATAGTTGAACATTTCATAAAACTGCACAGCCTACAAATATAACGCAGGTCCATTTCAATCTCCATCAAAATTACTTTATGGAAGAAAATACAAATAACACCATGATAAGATTAAAAAAAAGTGAAAGTAGGCCTATCGTACCGGTAAAGGCCTCATAGAAAATTTGCAAGGACAACTCATGAAAGAGGTTGAAAATATATCTTTTAGCATGCAGATGCCAGTATAATTTTCAAAGCCAAAAAACACCACTGTCAAATCAGAAATAAGAAAGCAAAGTTGCTAATAATTACCAGAAAACTGTCGAGAGACTATCTTCGCCATGGCTGTCGTGTTTCAATGTTTACTTTAGCAGCGACCTCTGGATTTCACATGAATGACGTCATCAAAGCTTGAGCTCAATTTTGTCATTTAACGCCTGACGTCAAATAAGTACAGTGTAGGCTGTAGGGGCCTTTAATAATATTTGGGTTAAATATTTGACTCTTGATGAAATATTTTGTTGTGCTAAATGCCGAAATTAATAAGCATTTTGACATTCTACTTCTTGTGTTTTCCAGGTAATCAAAATTGGCTATATTGTAGTAGTCTCCCCTTATACATTACCTTCACAGATCAAGAAACTAATTTACAGTACCGGTACACTCTCTGCTGATATTTAACAAGACGAGTGGTAGGCCTGTTGTAAATTTTGCTACGTAATCAAACAATTCTTAATCTTTCTTTGTTTATTTCTCAGATGCCCTTTGCAGAAGTATCAACATCGACTTTTCTCACAAATTTATCATAGCTTTTGACGACGGTGAGTTGACTAAAATAAATTCTTTGAATTAATGGATGCCTCTTTTTTGTAACCTACGTGATCTGACGAAATCTCCAGTTCTGGTTCTGATAATTTTCAACCAATCAAATGCTCTGTTCAATGAAAGATGTTCCCGTAGGCCTATATGCGGAATTCTGTGATGTTCATGTTCAAAGGTTCTCATGGCGTCATGTATTGGCTTATCCCTTAATAATGTTTTTGAGTGGTTAGAATCAATTATGACAATTTTTGATGCTTTTAGGAGAAATTTCAATGGTTCAACATAAAGAATCTGGTCGGATCGTGGATGTCAGTTAGCCTATGTCAAAACAATTTTCCCAAAAAATTCTTTGAAAGTAAAAGCCTACTTATTGTACTTAATATGACAAGCTTATCAAATATAGTAAAGATTTCTCAACATACGTTATATAGGCTATATGTAAAATTATGATTAAAGATCGGAGATTCGCGTTTCCAGTCCTAAGCTTTATCGACACCTTCTATTTTCCCTTCAGATTACGAAGAACAAGAGAGTGTTGATCTAAGAGACATGGAAATCAAGATGCGAAACGAATTAGAAAACAGCGTGAAGCAATACCAAGAGCAATTAAAAGTAGTGAACTTTGAGATTCCAGCAAACGAGGCGGAAACGGATAACTATATCAATGACAGAAAGGGAAGCATTCCGAAAATGTTAGGCGTGGCAGTCCCAGAGACAACACAAAATACCAATCTTTTATTAAATACGCCACTCCCACCATCAGACGCCAGAGCACACCCTCGTCCTAAAAGAAGTGCTGAAAATCCTGGTTTTGAGGTACTGTGAATTATTGCATGTACTAACAATAAATACCTTTCTTATTTTGAAACTATGGCAGATTTTAACATTCCAGACGAAAAAACATTGACGACTGAGACTGGGGAAAAGGGACAGTTGCCATTTTTTTTACGGTACCAATCATACTTTAGTCTCAAAACGGAAACTTTTAGTGATATATATAGAAAAGACAAATATAGAAAATAGTGTCAAAATACGGAGCTCTGTGGAAGTTCATGTATGGGCACGAGCCTCCCAGGTGTCTGAGAGAGTGGTCCCTCTAAACAATTTTTTGAAAAATGAAATTTATGCTAAATTCTGAAGCATATTTTGTATATTAGGGTTTAAGCAGCGCATTAATGGCTTTCCGAGCCAAAACCCAAAAATAATTTTCTTGAGATCATATATATGCCGAAGCTTCCCATTTATGTCAAAATCTGGTTTTTACAGACATCTCCTGGCCAAGGTACCAATGCTTCGGTCGAAGAAATGCAGAAGATGCTGTTGAAGAATATCTTGACCTATGTAGGAATTGGGGTAGCTGTATTGTTTATCGTCTGTATGGTTTGTTCATGTTGTTCTGTAATTGGTCCTAGGACTTGTTGCGTTGCGATATTGACCTCTCCTTGCTGTTTGATTGCTTTTCCGTGTATCTTATCGTACATCAAAGAGTTTCTAAATCCCGAAAATGTACTGAGAGACAATACGTATGCATACATGCCAGGTATCATGGTACATGAGAATGGCAAACTTCAAAAATATACTCCAAGTCCGGAAGAAATTGAAGCCGTCAGGGACATTATTGAAATTGTTAATCAAATGAAATATTAAAATATATATATTTAATCAAAGATTTTTTTTATGGTGAATTTCTGAAAGGGATATATTCGTGATTATTCACTATAGTCACTGATGAAACGTGATAGGCCTAATAAGGATACCCTTTGTCTTCATTTTAAGGGATTGTAAAGCGGTTTTCTAAATTTGTGTTATGTATGGTATCAATTTGCACCATTCCCTATGAATTTGTATTTCGTGTCATTTTAGAAAGTAGCATGGCTGACTAATTTTACATGGATAACAACTTAGGTTGTTACCAGGATATCTTACATGATAAAATTATATTCTTTAGCACACACACATTTGGGTAGATTTAGCTTTACTGGCAATTAGTCTCAAGAGATGAGATGATACATAATGGACTGTTTAAGGAATAATCTTGGACAACTAGATGGTCTTACGAACGTATTTCATCCCCCGATCACGACGATTAAAATCTCCAGCCCGATCACGAAAGAGAACACAAAGCGAAATTGTTTGTATGGCAGAGGCAGCCACTCTAATCGTCACATGATATCAACATCAAGTCCGATTAGTTTAAGAAATATCGATCGGTCGACAAAATACTACCGATACGGGCAGACGATCGAATTTAATCGCCGGCGTAAATAATCGGCAGAAAATATCTAACATTTTTTTTTGAGGCGATTCCTACGAGCGTAGAAAATCGTCGTTGACATGAGAGGGTGCATGAGCTATCTTTTATACTTCGTTCGCCGCGATCGTCTGCCCCCAGCATTACGTTGGCAAACAATCAACGACTGATTATTTTTACTTTAAATTTTCAGATACGTTAAGGGATACATTTCTCTGGTTGCTCTCTAGTTTTTATCAAGTTTATCAAATTTATTGTAAAACATACGAAAAAACTAAAACCATAGTGCCCTTTAAAGTTCAAATTTGAGCATCCTATTTCTGATGATTTAAAGCACGAATTTTCATTTGTGCCCAAACTGTACGACAATTATTTTAGAAACATATCTTTCTTGTCCCTGACAAAAACACAAAACTAAAAAGGATATAAATGTTGATTTTATTCACTCAACAACCTACAACTGTTCAATATATATCTAATCAAGTGCCTTTGATTTGCTGAAATAATCCCTTTAAGCAGTGGCGGCTCCAGTAGGCGTACAGGGGGCCCCATATTTGTACCCCAAGTCTTTAAAATTGTATGTCACACATCATCATGGTCTGATGCACACCCAGTTTGGTTCACTGGATACTCATTGGTTCCATTTGAAAAAAAAAACAACTAGTCCGATATTTGAACTAGCCGTCCTCAAATTTACAACCGACGCGTTGCAGCTTAGATAAACTCTTGTCAAATAGACATTTAACAACGGTTATATTACAAACATACCGTTATAAATAATTTCAAAATATTTCTTTGGTATCATTTCAACGATTTCTTCCATCAGTGTAGTACTATTGCCGATTCTGTTGATTACTTGGATATTGTTATTGGTACGGGGTTCATATAGCGTCTTTGAATAAATCTGTTTCTAAAAAGACCCAATAGGATATGGGCTTCGACCAGGAAGTGGTTCATTAGAAACTCTCTTACATACTCGTCCACATCCTTCTCTACAACACATCTCGTTGGGTGCACAATAATTATCATTCAAACAATTCACGCCTGGTCTAAATTCACAGGTTCCATAATAAGGACTAGGTTTGGGGCATTGTGGTTCTGCAATGATCCGTCGAAATGGAAAAACACTTCGTCCTACAAATTGAAATAAAGAAAAAACTAATTAAAATGAGTATGGTGATGTAGGCTACATGGAATGAATAGTAATAGAAATGTACGAAAATACCCGTTTCTGAGACTAAGGTACGATTGGTAAAACAAAAATGGCTCTCCCTTTAACTGTAATGACAAGCTCGAAGTAGAATTGATAATTTCTTGTGATCCGAATAGAAAGGATAAACACAAAACCGAATAAAAATATTTAATTTTACCTGAGGTAGCAGCTAAAAGGCACATACACACGAATATCAAACTAACATTAGGCATGTTTATGGTTTGAAGAGATTACGCGAATTATGTTTTCATATTACTGTATGTATTTATATCTTTGTTATCCCGGATGCTGTATTCGTTTATTAAAGTTATGAAAAACAAATAGGATGTAAAACGCCACATTAATCTACATACACACGTAATTCATTCACGGCCTAATAAAATATACATTAATCATATCAAAAAAATATAAATAAGTTACGTTATGTAGGTTTAGTCTCGGTTGTCGAGGCATATCCATGTCCATTCCTTTGGAAGAAACACCTTATGAAAATGGAGTGTCTTATACTGTTCTCTCCAAGAATTACTGTTAAAAAAAATAACTAAATTTGGTGCATTCTGGCACATATTTTTGGGCAAAAACGTATGAAAATCAACTGGATAGTCGAAAGTTTTGACTTCTCATATTCCGTCTTTCAGAATGACAATGCGATGATGTCGACTAAATCAAGCTGCTGACAAGGATCGTTTTGATAGTTGTGTAGACTAGAATAGACAGGTAACAATATTCAATCATATTCCCTTAGAAAATATTAAATACATGTATCTTCTATTATAAATCACGTGGGTGTATTGCTTTAAACTGTTTTTTTGACACATAACCGTAGAACAATTGTTAAGGCGGATGTTGAGATGACAAGCAATCCATTAGATCGTATTTAAGAATATAACAAACTCTCAATATTACACAGCAGGGATAATATGTGACATTTTGAAAAGAACACTATGACCAACATCTGAACAGAAAAATAGGATTCACCGTTACCAAGTAGTTTTGATTGTATTGAACGCAGATTTTGGTTCTGCAATACTAATCCAGTGGAAGCACGAGAAAGCTAGCCATTCTCTTCACTAAGGAGTGTGCACTGCAAACATATGATACCTTGATAGTTCAATCTAATTAAAATTAGCCACCATTTTCGTTCCGTTTTTAGGACCAAGCCCGCGTCTCATTTTTGGCTCTCACCTTATAGAAATTGACAGTACCCTGGCTAGAAATGTCATTTATATGCTCACTTGAAGGGTTGTTTTGAATTTGAAGTAAACATTACAGAAAAATGTATGCTTTGTTCACCAAAAGAGACAATTTCATTTTTGTTCTTGACCTTTAAACAATCATAAGTTATCAGAATACACAAAACTCCCAAAAGTCCCAGAGTATGCGAGTCTATGTTGGGGAATATTCTGAGTAAAATCAAAAGGTTCCAAAGAATGAGAGAAAAACATTTCAAAAGCAACTGTTTATTTGAAGATACATATACATACAGCGACAGATATTTACTATCAAATACATAGTCAAATCGACAGAAACAATAAGGTTCACAGTAAAATTCTACAAAATATAATCCTAAAATGAAAATTAATATTTACAAATAATTACAATAAAATACAAATTTACAAATATTCACATTAAAATACAAATTTACAGAAATAAATGCTAAAAAAAAATCGTCCGAGGGAGAAAAGGTGGAATTGTCAAAGTGAATTTATTTGCCGAACAAACTATTAGGGTTTATGACTTCTCATTTATTTTAAGTTAAAATAAGTTGGAAGTTGATGTATATTTTAGACACCATCGAGATATTCATATTGGTTCTAGTTATTTAACAACTAAATTTCATTCAAATAGAGTTATTTCTAGCATAACAATAGCCTTGGAGAACGCTATACAGCTGTCAGATTATAGGGTCAAATTCGAAACAGCAAATCCAAATATGAATCTAAAATTCTAAGACACTGATAAGAAGAAACTTAATGGACGAAAGTCTAGAATATCCGACACTTTTATCAATGTAAATACAATCTCATTGCACGGGATAGGACTGCATAAAATTATTATATTTCTAAAGATGGGTTCCCTTATGAAACATTTTAACATTTTTACTTTAAAATGACTCATTCTGGGGTATATAATATGAATGAATATGTAACGCCACACACCTAATTATAAATTCGATCAAGGTTAGTAAACAAATCACAGCTTCAAGCAATATCCATATTATTTTACATTTACCTAATAATTACGACCCAATGGCCCAATAGCCCAATAGCCGATTTTAATATGAGTAACAGAATTTTACAAAAGTCATAGAAAATGACAAAACAAAGCCATAAAACAGAAGATGTCATAGATAACCCACTATCTCTTTAAACCTGCGGTACTCTTTGCCCCAAAAAAATTACACAAAAATATTTTAATCACATTAAGACTTTAAAGTAAAATATTGTGTTTTAAGGTTGCCAGACAAAAATAATGCTCTTAAAGTGTGCAAATACATGCAAGTAACCCAATAATCGTCCTTTTCTATAGGTCCAAAACATTCAGGGCAATACAAAACCCATCCAGAACAAGTCTGGCTTTACTGCCACTATGATTTCTATACTTTAATATGCACAAACTAAAACCAATAAAGCTTTTAAATTGGTCACCAATTAAGCTGGAACTGTGGACAGCTCCGAGCGTGGCAACGAGACATTATCACATGGATTTGGAACATTTTGAAACTTGTAGCCTGCTAGCTAACAACTCCGCTGCTTTTAAGCCTAAAAATTTGTGAACCAGAAATGAAAAGTTTCGGGTATCTGATACATAAATCAAGTATATATTACACTCCAGAAATGTCACTTCAATATTCTCAATTTGCAAAAAATCTCAATTATTCAATAGACAAAAACAACAAACATAGATAATCAGAACTAGTCACCCGTGATAGGAATTTGATCCGGGTTTACAAACCACAAGCTTAATTCATAGGTTTTTTCTCGAGGGAACAGAGCCTATATTATTCAAAAAAAAACCCAAAAACAACGAGGTAGATAAAATTCAGTTAGGGTTATTGAAGATTAAGTAGATAAGCCTTAGGGTAAAATATTATAAAACATATTGACCAATTTGTTTTACTTGAAGAAATCACTCCTTGGATGCGGAATGTGAATAATTTTGCCTGATCATACTTACGCTTCACTGAACAAACAGGTGTTGACTATAAAAGGCTGTAACTTTCACGTAAGAAATTAAATTCGTAACTTTCACTCTTGAATACATCTGAAACGGTTTAATTGTTAGCTCATTCATAATGGAAGGAAAACTGTGCATTGCCTTCTGTCTCCTTGTCACAGTTCTTATTGTACAAGGTAAGTTTATGATATTTTTTAGATAAAATTTTCAGATAAGACTCCAAATTTTAGTCGGTAGTTTATGTTAATTTCAGCACCAAAAATTTCTGACCTCCTAAAAAAGACAGACTTTCCCTTTAAGAATTTTTTTTATGTTATGATAATGTCAAATTGATATGAATTTTTGGAAATTGGAGGCGAACAAGGGAATGCCTAAATTTTACTGTACATTGGAGGTTGTTGACCAGACTGTACAGTTTCCTTTCACCACCATCGTATTATCTCCTCAAATAACCGAAATATTTATGCCAGTTCTTAGTTCAGATATTCGCATGTTTTCAATTTTCTCAAAAAATTGCAAATTAATCCAAAAAATGTAATACAAAGCATAAAAGTTTCTATTGAAACAGGATTCGCACAGCCTTGAAAAACCCTTGAATTCCGTCCGTTGCCTTGAAAAACCTTGATTTCAAAAAAAGTCTTTGAAAACACCACTAAAAACCCATTTTCTCTTGAAAAGTCCTTGAATTTTGAGTTGAGTCAAATTGTGTATATTTTTATTATTAACCCCACTGACAAATATTAACTATCTTTATTGATTTCACAGTTCAGAAGTAAGGTACATGTGTATTCTGTCAGACTAATATCCTTGAAAAGTCCTTGAATTTCAAAGCCCAGTGTCCTTGAAAAGTCTTTGAATTTTTGAGGCAAAGTGCTGATGAACCCTGTGAAAATTTGAGAAAGACCAGTTTAAGGAACACTGTACACAGACAAACAGATCTGACGAAATGGATTTAGTGAGAGCCAAATTGATCTAAATTGTTGTTCGATTGCAGATAGAAATTCCGCAACATAAGGGTTAATGGTGTCATTATATTGTATTCATTATCACTATTATTATTGTTATTATCATCATTATTATTATAAACTGACTAGACATTGCTTATTTGACACATCATCACAGTGCCAATGTTAATTTTATTTTTTTCAGTAACAGCCCAGAGTTGTCCTAAATATTATTCTTCTAGAAGTCCCTGTCCCAAACAAAGATGTATAACAGATGACGATTGTTCTGGTAATTATAATATAATAATATTTTTAATTGAGTTTTGGCCTTCTGATACTGAACAGGCGAAGATGTGGGAATATGAGATTTTCCGAAAGAAATGACCAACAAATTTTGTAATGTGAGGGATTCGAAATAGGCCACATAACCGCCGATGACTGTGAAATTATTAATTCTAAAATAGAGCTATCAATACTATCCTTGGCCGTTGCTTTCAAATTTAATATAGAAAAATAACACAGAAGCTGCAACAGTCATGTTAACTGTAAAGTTTTAGATTCTGTTTTAATATTTCTATGTCGCTCTATAAAATTGGTGTATCGAGCACTATTTTAACAGTGACAATATTGAGTAAATTTTTAATAATATTGACATTAACAGTGAATCGAAATTGACAAATCGAAATCTTGCCCAATACAATCCATTTCAACTGGGATCAAATAATCCAAATATAAGTGTGCTAACTCTGATACATTTATTTCGAAATCACTTTTCAGGTCTGGTATGTTGTAG